AGCTTAATAGAGAAAAAAACTTCTCGACGACTTCTGCTCTTTATCCATTCCATCTCTCTATACACGTTTTTTTTTTGAATAAAATTATCGATTTTCTTTCTCTTTCGCTTCATTCCGCCACATTATTTAACTAGTATTTACTCGGAAGAAATAAAATGTGAGCGCAGTTTTTAACTATTTCATGCATCACAACCAATTTAATAACTTTTGAAAACTTAACCCATTAGATCGTACAATTTTAAACTTTAATAAAATTATCAATAATAGATTTATGAAACGTGAACTAAAAATAAGACTTTTATTGTATAATACAAGTAAAAAACTTTTCGCATATATATTTAAGAGAAAGAAAAAACAACAACCTACTTTTATGTGTGATGAAGAAATAAAGCTTTTTTGCGATAGCATATTTCTTCACTATTTTGTATTTTTTTCTACCGACACGTGCTGTAAATATGGTGATAAACAAAACATTTTTTTCCCCACTAAAATAAAACACCTTTGCAAATATTCTACATATCCACAAGAATAACATATTCTCATCTGATGAATCAAAACAAGATGTTATCTGATTAGCAGAACATTTTCATTATTAGTACTTTTCTTCATTAAATTTTTTAAAACAGTATATCTGACCTCTTCAGTCTTTAAGTAACCATAGCGAAGGATAAAAGATGTCTACCTTATGATCTCAAAATTTGGTCTATGTTTAATCACAAAAAGACAAAATATAGCAATAAAAATAATGATTATAATCTAACTTCACATTTAATTACAATATTTGGTTGAAAAAACAAGTCTAAAACATATCTTCGTTACAAAGGAGAAAAGATCAAAAACTCACGAATTGAAACTTACAGGTGTATTTAAGTAACGAACGACCGACCATCCCTCATGTTCAATGGATAATATCTTAAATAAAAAAATACTAGGTTTAGCCATGCCTTGCATTGAGTTTCTAGAACTAATTACACTTTTTATGTGCTCGCTGCTTTTCTTTCTTTGGCTTCTCTCAATAGAGGAATGAGTAATAACGTGCACTGGGTTTTTTCCCAGTCGCATTTTTTTCTTGTCAAACAATGAGAACGTCGAAGCATTTTTGATATGTTAACCTCATATATGTATACGAGAGTATTTTCGACTAATTTTCACGATTAAATTTATTCAAATATTCCTAAACTCAAAAAAAATAGTGTATTACAATGACCTATGAGTCATACAATGCAAATTCAAAGGGAAACAAAAATAATATATTATACATTACATCGTATGCATGAGAGAAGGCGTTGGCAGTGATAAATATATATTGTTCTGTTCTGTGTGTCTAGTGTGTGATGTGTCATCATTCTTTTTATATGAATTAGTGTTCGCTTATGAAATAAATTAACATCTCACAGCGATAGATGTGAATTTTTACTACCATAGATCGTGAGAGACGTTATTAATTTGTTCTAACTAATGTATTAGGAGCTATATCGTGTTTCACATCTTAATTTTACAGCGATTTCGCTAACAACTGTTTTCATACGTTAGACAGTGTTTTGTTGAAATTATAAATAAATATTGAAATTGATAAAATATTCTTCATATATTAACAATAGGATAAAACTCCAATAATCAAAATAAGATTTTTTTGCTTGAACTAAGATATTGAAAAAGTGTTATTTTACGTAACTTCATCATCAACTATTTCTATTTGATCTTGATAAATGTATTTGACAAACTAATATTTATTTTTGATTTAAAACTGTTTGATCAAGTAAATTTAGTTTTTTAAATGTCGAAAAAAGCATGATCAAGATAAATGAGTCAATACATTGCATGTATTTATATATTTTCAATAAATTTTTACTTAACATTTTTCAAGAAGGGATTCTTTTCAATAGCATTGTAATACTTAAATTTAGTTAATCTTTATTTTATCGAACTTCATCCGCTTTCCCTGTATGGTTACTATGCAAACAGAGCCCTCTGTATAGTTGCCTCAAGCAATAGTAGTTAAATAAAAAATAGAAAATGGTATGCATCTAGATATTCGAAGTGTTTTCTAAATACTCGTCATTATAATGGCCACTCGTCCCGAAAGGGATAAGATCAATTACAATATCATTCTTTCATATTTATACTGATTCACAATATAATCTGTTTTAATCTTAAATATATATTTATTATATGATAAAGTTTTAATATGGGACGAATATGTCCTACTTTTTTGCTTTCCTTTTCTTTTGATTTATAAAAAGCATTTCTCTGCTAATAGTCAAATATGATTCACAATCTTCGACGTAGAGTGTAAAAAACTCCAACATGCTAGAGAAAAATATCCAGCGCATAGACGAGCAATTGCGATTCCAAGTTAGAACTAAACCAGAAGCCAGCACTTTGCACACACGACTTGAAACATACTCAGAATAGTACTTAGTAAATAACAGCTAGAGTTGAAGTAGCGTAAACTATGAGATGCTCGTATCTGACTCAATCCATTCTTTTCGCTTTATATTATTTCGATTTTTTTGACATGTTGTTACTTATTCTATAAATTTTCTGAATAGGTTCAACAAAATGAACTTTAATCATGCATATATAAAATACCTTCAATTTGAATAATTTTTTTTTATTGATGTAAAATCAGAGAAAAAGAACAAAGTATGAGTATAGCAAAAATGCGAATCCAATGATTTTCTTAGTTTTGTACTATGTACAAACAACAAGAAATTCAACTAATACACAATGAACAAAGATTTGTTTTTCTAAGCCAAAAATCATAAGATAGAATGTAATAATCAATCATATACATTAGAAATGACAACACAAGAAAATCGATTTATAATAATGCAGAAAAAGAAATGTTTTTTTTTTGTATTTTGATTTAATCATTGCATGAATATATATATCTGTTGTTGAATTAATTATTTAATAATTAATTACTTCACTTTGAACCGATTTATCGCTAACAATTGGATAACTTGCAGCACTACTAATACCACACATATTCTTCTTATTTCGAGCAAGTTTTATATAGCCTTTATCACCCCAAGCAGCTGACCAACTATTAAAGAGAAATAAATTAAAATGAAATATATTCTAATTTGTTTTTGTTATTTACCTATTTTTAACAATATAATATTCTTGTTGACCTTTAACTGGATCATTAGCAACACCATAGCCAACAGCTAAAACACCGTGATCAAGATCTTCTGATGAACATTTGGGATCAGAGTAAACACCTAAAATATAAAATAATTAGACATAAATCAATATTTTAACAGCATAGAGAAAAGAGCAAATAATATCAGCAGCTTAAACCTATATCTTAACTATTTCAGAAGAAAAAATTATTAATTTATATTTTAAAGTTTTTATATTTTACATACCAGATACATAGAATTGAAATGATTCTTGACTAGCATCAATAGCAACTGAAACAGGACCTTGAAGTGCTAAAGCTTCTTGTAATGCTGTTTCATTGCCTTGTGGAATATCAACAAAACCATCACACGTGGTAGCAACGGAAGGTCGACGAAATTTACAAGCTGTTTCATCCTGTTAATAATAGAAAAAATATTTTTTATTTATCAAGAAAGTAAATTATTCTTTTTTACTTTTCCAACATATGGATATGATGCTTCATCATCAAGACCTTTGTTATCATGAACATATTTAAATGCATTATCCATTAAACCACCGTTGCAACCATTATTACCCCAATGTGTCGAACAATCAACAAGTTGTTGTTCACTTAAACTAACTAATTTACCACTTGATCGTGCATGATGACTTTCGAGTGCACCAGTCTATAAAATATTTAAATCTTAAAATTTTATTTATTCCATATAGATCTTTACATACAGTACTAAATGCCCAACATGAACCACATTGTGCTTGATCTTTTACTGGTGTTACCATACCTTGATCACGCCAATCAACAGATACTGGAAGAGCTATATAAGGTGAAGCTGGAACATGTAAACGACGAAAATCTGATAATTGTGAATGAGAATTTTTATCACGACGATATCCATTAAATTGTTGACGAAATTCTTGATTTGTCTAAAATTCAGAAAAAAATAATGAAAATATTTAAATTAAATCATTTTTTCTATTTACCAATGTAGCATATTTATTAATACCAAGTCGAAATGTATGTAAACCAAGATCATGTTCAAGATTATGTTTAACAATCATTTTAACATGACCAGCAAAGATTTTAAAACGATGAAGTTCTTCAATACTTGTATTATATACAATGCCATATCCTTTCTTAAAATTTGTCCATAAATTATCAATATGAGTTTCAACGTTTTCCACTGAAGGTAAATAATAACCATCACCTAATGAAACTGGTGATGTATATATCAACGGTATTAAACCAATACCGATGATAAAAATATTTAGAATTAAACGCATTCTTTCTTTTTTTTTCGATTCGAAGTTTATATCTAAAAGTGTTAAAGTATGTGTATTTATCAAAAATAGTTTGCTTTTTGATAATAACTATGTAATCGAATGTGACGATGATCGATCGTTTATTCTCTCTCTGACTATACTTATCTGCACTGTTATATATATATATATATGTCTACAATTTATATGAGAGAATGAAATAGAAGAAAAGGAAAAAAAGTCATGTGCACTTCGATATGATTCATTCCATTCAATTTTTATCATCTACCATATTTCGATTATTATTCAATCTCAAGAATTAAATCCTAAAATAAATATGATTTTTTCAAATTTGATTTATTATATTATAAATAGACGAAATTCCATACACATACATTGTTAATTTTTTCAAAGTACAGGTAAAAACAAAAGACAAAAAATACACAATGGAAATCAATACAAACACACACACACATACACACGCAAGAAGGAAACTGTTATATACTAATGATACATAAAGATATAAAAAATAACTTTTAATTAAATTAATAAAAACGCTTCTATCTGATAAAAGACATAGGTTAACTGTGCTAGATGACTAGAAAAAGAGTAAAAGCTTATCTGGTAAGACTAATTCGCGCTGCTTTAGCTGACAAAAATGCATGTAAATGGAAGACAAATGATTTAGGTGAACCATCGAAATATAATTCCTAATAAAATAAAAAAAAAGAAGAATTTCTTAAAAATTATCAAAAAATATTATCATACCATGACACCTTCTTCACCATGAAAATCTAACATAAGTAAATGATTATTATCATCTGATGATGAGCGGAGTTTTTCAAATGGTTCTTGCCAAAGTAAACGAGCACTTGTACTACCAATATCTGGTTCCGCATACAATGCAAAACCATCTTCATAATGTAAATATAATTTACATAAACGATTATTCCATTTGCAAGCTTAAAAATGTAATTGATAAGAGAAATTAAAAAAGAAATCTTTTTCTAACATACGAAAAATAACTTCTTTTATACGTTGAACAGCACTTTGTATACATTGACTTATTGAAGTTGTCCAATAATCTAAATCATATTTTGTTTCAATTCGAAATGTATGTATTACTACACCGAATTTTGTTCCAACACGTAATGATAATAATGAAATATCAATATCGGTTGATGTATCACGAGTTGATTGAATAAGTCTTTTTTTGAAAAGAAAAAAAGAAATTACTTTTACGAAATAAAAGTCTTGTCTTTATGTTTTTACCTGCTTGATAATATTGGATAGGTAATATTAGATTCCCGAGATGCTTGTCTTGATACTGGTGAATGAGATAAGAAGCATATTTCTGAATCTGTTAGAACAAGAAAAACAGGTCGCCATGATTTAATTGTTGTTAAGTCATCATAATGAACTTGTTCAGCTAACCATCCTAATGCTTTTACTTCATTATTATCACGTTCAGCATAGAAACGTTCTTCAATTTCAGGTAAAATTTCCAAAAGACAACGAGAAATTTTTGAATGAATTATATAAAACCAATTTCGAGCATGCATATCATCAACAAAACGTATACTATAACAAGTTTGATTATAAGGTAAAATAATATCTAAAATAGAACCATTTGTACCATCTGTTAATAAAGGTGATGCTGTTGCTGGTATTGATAAATTTGATGATAAAACAATTATATCAGTAGCTGATGATGAACGACGAAAGACATAGCATAAACGAAGAGATATACGTTTTGTTTCATAACGAATTGAATCATTAGATGATTGATGAGGTATAGCTGATATAATTCGTTTTTGATTTAATTCAACAAGATCATCTTCAGAATGATGTTGTTGTTGTTGTTTTCGAGAAGGTAAAGAATTTTGTTGTTGTTGCATTAGAACATTTACTTCTCGTAAATATCGAACTAAAACATGATTTTAGTTATTTGATAGAGATATCTTCCTTTCAATAAGAATAATCATCAACAATACTGTATCTTTCAACTGAATATATTCTTTCGATTAGTGACAACATTCCATCAAGATCGTGTCTATTTCTCATACAAGAAAATCATGAATTTTATTTTTTTTTATTTAGAATAAAATATTTTGTATAAAAATTGTAAATGCTTTCTTTTGATGAATGAATACGCTAATCAAATAAAGCATAAATCAAAGGTTTCGAAAGTATTAGAAGTGCAATTTCTTTTTAATGTACCATGCATCGTATCCCATTCATTTCTTTATTAACTATTACCATCTGTTATTTTTTCTCTCATTCGTTTTATCGTTTACTATATTTATCATTATCATATATATATCTATTCTCGTATGCCTATTATCGTTTATCTCTTTTATCAATCTATTTCAATTGTCAAGAGTAATATTAAAACTAACCTTCAAGTTCAACTTCTTTGCCTGCTTTTTTTAATATTTGTACTGCTTCTTCATGTGAAACATGTTGTAAATCACGTCCATTGACTGAAAGTATAGCATCACCAACATAAAGTTGTCCAGTTTGATCAGCAGGCATACTTGGAAATATTTTACTTATTAATATAGGCATTCGATTTTCTCTACCGCCTTTAATACTTATTCCTAATTGAATTATAAAATATATAAAAATTCAAACTAAAATTAAATCGTGATGTTCTTACCAAGACCAGTATTATCTGGTTTAGATATTTTTACTATACGTTTTTGACTGCTAATAGTATTTGATACATCATGATTTGTTGATGCAGTATTTATTATTGAATTTTGATTTATTATATTAGTATGAGAATTTAATTGTTCAAATGATGTTTGTTTATCATTTTCATATTCAATAAATAAATTATCGTCTTCCAATGCTAAACTTGCTTTGATCCATTTTGAATACACATAAAGTTCAACAACAGCACGTTGTTGTTCAGCTAATGGTGATTCCACTGTCATGAGATATGATGAAGAAGTACAAGAATTTGAAGAAATTTTCTCAGTTGAGAAAATATAAAAATGAGTCGTCTCTAGTTGCCGATGACATTGATTTATTTATTTGTTGTTTATTTTTTGAATGGATTGATTTCTGTAACCAATCGATAATTTCAAATGAAATGAAAACTACATATTCAATATTCAACTATATGAAATTGAAAAAATGAAAAATAAAAATTTGTATATTAGAATAATATGAGAGTTCAAAAACAAAAGCGACATCTATCAGCGAATATACATATAGCAATACTGTTTCTTGAAATTTCTTTTGATGATTAGAATTATATCATTCAAACTCAGTTTTTTGTATAATTAATTAATATTTTTTTCTTTCTTTTAGATCGATTTAAAAGACCCATGGTAAGAATTGAAACGAGAGTTACATGGATTATATTTTCATCATAGAGTTATTCTTAATTTATATAATAAAAATAATTATGAAGAGAAAAAGTACATGTATTCTATTTATAGTATAGTTTTAAATTGAAACTGATCGGTATTCGGTAATAAATAAAGCTTAATATAATTTTGCTCTCAAGATATTAACCTTTGAAATTATTTTGATATAATACATGAGAATAAAGTTGAATAGGTACAAAGTGTAGAAGTATTAGTTCAAGGATAACTTACCATCTGAAAGTGAAGCATATACTTACTAATGTTACTATATATTATGTAGAAACATCAATAGATATTTTCAATTTACGTAATTATTTTTATTTCAGCCACAAAACGAACATATCGAACTTCATCGTAAACGACATGGTCGTCGATTCGATCACTATGAAAAACAGTAATATAAACTACTTATAAAAAAATAAAATTTATTTTCTTTACTTTTTTTTATAGAAAAAAGAAAGAAGGACGTTTACCACATATACTATCTAAAAAAGCTCAAACATTACGTGGAATAAAGTAAATAATTTTTCTTTTGTAAATTTTAATTAAATTTCTATTGCTTATTTTCGTTAGAGCTAAATTATATAATAAACGTCGTCAAAATGAAAAGATTCAAATGAAAAAAACAATTAAAAGTCATGAAGAAAAAGAAACAAAACAACGTGAAGAAGTACCAGAAGGTGCTGTACCAGCTTATTTACTCGATCGTGAAAAACAAAATCGAGCAAAAGTTTTATCAAATACTATTAAACAAAAACGCAAAGAAAAAGCGGTATATTTATTATTTAATTAATTCAAATAGATTAAGGAAATTTTCTTTTATAGGGTAAATGGGATGTACCAATACCAAAAGTAAAAGCAGTAAGTGAATCAGAAGTATTTCGAGTTGTTCAATCCGGAAAACGACGAAGTAAAAGAAATTTTCTTTTTTTTTATATTTTAATAATTATTTCTACAAATAGAGAAAGCATGGAAACGTCTTGTAACAAAACCATGTTTTGTTGGTGAAGGATTTACTCGAAAACCACCAAAATTTGAACGATTTATTCGACCAATGGTAAAATATTGACAAGCTTCTTTGTGATTTTTAATTAAATTTCTTTTAGGCACTTCGTTTCACTAAAGCACATGTAACACATCCAGAATTAAAAGCAACTTTTCAATTACCTATTATTGGTGTTAAGAAAAATCCAAGTTCACCACTTTATACATCTTTAGGTGTGATAACTAAGGGAACAGTTCTTGAAGTAAATATTAATTAATGTGTCATAGATAGATCTATAAACATTTCATTTAATTTTCATTAGGTTAATGTTAGTGAACTTGGAATGGTTACACAAGGTGGAAAAGTTGTATGGGGAAAATATGCACAAGTTACAAATCATCCAGAAAATGATGGATGTATAAATGCTGTACTTCTTGTTTAATCTTTTCATTGTTTTTGATTAAAATAAAATAGAAATATTGACGTTTAATATTCTGTTAAGAAATATAACAGTATTTATATTTCATATTATTTGTCAGAATACATACTTTTACTCTTTTATATTATTATCACGTGTTAGTAAATAATTTGAAAGAAAAAACTCAAAATTGAATCGATACAATAATCTATACTATATGATAATTAATTTCAGAAAATAGATTAGATTCACTTTATTGTTTATTTAGTCCATATGATGCCATTTATTTAAATACTATTAATTATACTCATTACAAAAATGATGACAGTTTAAAATAGATAATTGAAAAATTATTTAATTTCATATCATTACTACTTTACCTATGAAATATAAATGTATGATAATGACTCAGCTAGTTTTAATATAATCAGAATAAAATTTAGAAACATATAACAGACAATAGTTATTTTAATAAATTATCTTGTTGTCAAACATCAGGATAAGGACATATATGAATATGTATATTTTTTGGAAAGAAAACTAATGTCTCAAAGTACAAATTTCATTGTAAAAAGAGGGATGAACCATGCTTCGCTTCAAGAAGAAATCCTTTGCCCTCACAAAGTCATCAGGAGACATAAAGAGATATAGATTATTTTATTCTTTTTTTGTATAGAATAGTTTTATAAATTGAGATACAGAAGCCATCTCTTCTTAGTCATCATCACGTATCACTTTCACTACCATTATTCTCCTTTTTTGTTCTGTTCTCTTTCTCTCTACACAACGTGTGCGATTTTTTTTCATTCTTCTCTACTATGAGTATCGGCAAATGTCATGGTTGAATAAACATGATAATTTCAATCCTTGCTTTTTTTTCATCTGATATCAAACACAACGCCAAGCAATAATATCAGTGTAAAGTTTTTTTTAAATTCTGTTTTTGAAGAAAATCGACTCTAAACAAGCTAAAGCATTTTTTAAAACTTATTTTATTTGGCGCATTTATATGAATTCATCTCCGTTTTTCTAATTGAAAAATCAAATTTCTTATTTTTAATGTTTCGAAAATACTATTTTCAAAGAATTGAAAAGACAACAAGTATAACTTATTTGTAACTAATTTTTATTAATGAAAGAGAAAAAATGAAATATAAAAAATTAAAAAACAGAAACTGATAAATAAAAAATGCGGGATTAAATAAACGGTTAAATGATATTAAAGCTAAAAAAGAGAAAAAAAGATTGGAACTAACTAAAAAATCAAAAACTGTCAATGTTGTGTATTTTGTATGCCGGTCAGTGCGATTCTTCGTTTCTATGAAAAAAAATAAAGAAGCATTCAGTCGATTACTAGAAATTAAACGGAATAATAATTCGACGAAAAACATATAAAAATATAATACAATATCAAAACTATTTTATCTTAAATAAATAAAATAATAGTCTTGAGAAAAGATGCTTACCCTTATTTTGGAAAACCCATTCAAATATGTAATTCACTTTATATAAGTGTTAAAAAGATGTGCTACTGACTAAGATATAACGATACAAGAATAGATTATCTGAAGACTGTGTTCAACTATTTTATACCGTTGAAAGCAATATCAGAACGAGTTACGTGACTGATGAACATATGTGACTTATAAACTGATTGCACAAATACTTGATGCAACTATTTTATTCACTTTGCATAGAATTTTTGCTCGACCAGCTGATTATTCAACATACGACAAATGAATAAATCAAAATAAGATTGTGTACATGTATTTCCTTTTCTTCCAAAAACAATTTCTAGTACAGTTTCATATTCATGAACAAATGATAGAAAAATAAGTCAAACTAAGATTGTGTACAAGTATTTCTTTTTGTTCGGACAACGATCCCTACATGAGTTTAACACTCACAAACAGATGAAAGATGGATAAATCATAACAAGGTTGTGTACAGGTATTTGTTTTTGTTCGAGAGACAACTTCTAGAACAGCTAACTATTCAGAAACAAATCAAAGATGGATAACTCATATGAAGATTCTGTTCTATTAATTTACTTCGTTCGAAGAATAATTTCTAGAATTGTTTAACATTCACAACCAGATCATAGGTAAATAAGTAAAATGAAGGTTGTATACAGGTATTTCTTTTCGTTCAAAATACAATTTCGAGAGCAGTTCATTATTCAGAAACAAATCACAAATGGATAACTCATATTAAGATTCTGTTCTAGTATTTTACGTCGTTCGAAGAACAATTTCTATAAACGTTTACCATACACAAACAAATGATAGATAAATAAGTCATAGCAAGAT